TATTTATGCATATTTTCCCACCAAATGTGTTGTTTTGTTTCTCTACCACTGTCAAATCCCAAACAAACCATAGTTAAAGACATGCAATCACGCACTCTAAATCCACATATACATGTTTCAATGACGACTATGGTACATATCATAACTGCGTGATACAAAACTGTAAATTGACGTGTAATACGTACTTGATAGAGGGTATTGATGGCAACTTTAATTACACCCTTTGATGTTGTATTGGTATAATCTTGCTTTAAAGTGTTTTATTAACTATATTTAACATTGTGTCATGCAATGCTTACTGCTTACTTTTAGCTGAGGCTTGATACGTATCCGTAAATATATGAGGTTAGTTAAGTACTACATGTACTAGGTGTTTTACAATGAGCCTGCTAGCAGCAATGGATTCTACATAGTATGCTAGTGCAGACAAGGATCACCCGGGACATCTGTGTGGTAGCACTGTTTAATATTTGTCATTAAATATTTTCAAATTTGATTTGTTTCCTAACATTATTTCGCAGATAAAAAGATGCATGTTACAGTATATTTAAAAAGCAAGCAATTTAGTGTTTTGATGGCCTATCACGAAGTTACGCCAGCCAACATGAATTGTTTATTTATTTCAATAATTATATAAAAAAATCCTTGTATTTTTTTTGCTTTGAATATTGATTACTTATCTATTAAGCTTTTAAATAAATACAACGGGTACCCTCAAAAAGACTACTACAATGGAAATGATATTGGGAACATGTGCGTCGAGAATAATTAGGAATCTTGAAGCTTTGAAGTTTTAGTGAAATAGTAAACTTATTATAATTAGAAAAAAAAGATAAGTGTTAGAAATTCTGTCGAATAAATAATATTAATGGTGTTGTAGAATGTAAATGGAATAGAAAGAATCTTACCACAGCGTCTCAAATAATAATGGTACATAACATTCTAACTGAAAATCCTATCAATCAAAGGTACAGAACTTATATACTAAACACTATATATCTATACCCGTGAGACTCAGAGAGAATAAAGAATATTATAATTGAAGTGGAGTAGGATAGTTCGCGGGATTTGAGAAAAATGAAAGCCATTTGTTAAAAGCTTAATATGCGACTGTTCTTTAAGATCTATTTCATACAAAGTACGATTGCACATACAAACTCAGTGTACAAAAATTGCACTCGATACAAACAGTTGAATTGTCTCGGACGTATCTATAAACTTCCGCTACGGAACCATCCGATACAAGACAATAGCAGACAATAACCGACGCCACGAACAAAAATTACAATTGTGTAATTTTTCTGCGTCTTATTGACAAACAGCGCAAAGCAAAATAAAGACTTTACATTACAAATAACTCAACCCGTGACATTATGACGAAAAGCCCCTGAATATAAATGGTATATTTAGCTGATTATAAATTCATAATAAGTTTCATTATACTGATCTATATGATTTTCTTGAAGAAACTATTCGTAATCACAGAGTACACTATTACATACTTAACCTTTAGATTTGACCGAATTATCAAAGTGCCCGTTGCAAGACGTTTTTTTAAGTGTTGGCAAGCAATCAATTAACTTCTTTAATAGTTATAAATTAATGATGTATTTGGTCATGCACAATTCGTTTTGTATACAAGGTTGAAGCTATCTTGAAACATGAGTGAAAGAAATAAAGACAAAACTCGATTAAATGAGTGTTAATTTCGTCTGTTTGACAAAAATTACAAGGTCAAGTGTCGTTATATTAAAAAAGAAGATCTTATCATTAGTAATTTTGCTGTTGTTGCATTTCAGTCTTTTTTACTATTGAGGGTAAACTTACTAAGCCGGTTGTAGAGGTTACACAAACCTAAAACGAGGGCATTGAGATCTATCTGTAAATAAACGACGACAACATCAAAGTCTCACAGTTAGTGCCTCTGTTTGTTTTGCTTGTTTGTTGTTAAAAGAGTAGTGGAGTTGAGAAATTGTAATATATTATATACTTTTATCTTTTTGTTTTGTTTCTATTACTCGAACATTCATTGTTGCTGGAAAATAAAGCACTAATCTTCTAAGTGGTAGACAGTCAACAAAGCAATTACCATGAATTATTATGACAAACCGGATACAAAATAATAATATTTGTTCTGAATAATTACCCTTTCTAGTCTCGATGAAGTGTATTTCTGTTAAATAAATGAATATTTATATGAAAGCGTAGACAGCTATTTCAATAAACGTAATCACGTCTTTGATATTTTCAAGAACGTCTTTGTCGCGTTTGTTATTGTATCTATAATTACATTTAGCATGCCAATTTAAGGTCGACAAGAGACGGATTAGTCTTTTTCGGCCGAAGGCTGCCTAAAATCAGTTTGACTTCCTGTAAAATTTACAGGAAAAAACTAAATATAAGAAGTGGCTTTATTGGTCATTTTAAGACTAAAATTTGGGAATCTCACTCGCTATAATGTTGATTAATATTATCATTTTTGCAATATTTCATATGTGATTATTGCCACTATTCAATATGATTACAAAATCTAAAAAGTCAAACGTAAAATCAGGTAAAAGTAATCATTTAATTTCTAAGTTTACAAAATGTTTTTTCTTCTTAACTACAAACATTGGTAATATTTTTTTATTTTTCGAAAACATAGAAATAACATGCATTCCAAGTTCATCAGTTTCAATTAGACCGTGTATCTTTTTTAAGATGCTGCTTGTTTTGTTATTATTTTTAAATGTCCAAAGTTTGGCCATGGTATTTGAGAAAACTTAGTGATAGTCCATGACCGAAGCATTTCTTCATATATTACTTCATATATTATCATGAATATCAAAATAAAATAAAGTTGTTTGAAAACAAAATGCCAAAGACCGCATCAATATATTGATACAATGAATTATATAACTATTATAATAATATATAATGCATACAATGGAATATTAAGAAACTTGGATTTACTAAATGTATAAGCTGATATTTATAGAAATGATAAATGATAATATGAGCTTTATAAGAATTATTGCCAAAGTCTTTGCTGAAAAATTGACAATCATATATTAAAATGATGCAATTAAAGTGATAACTGCTTTGTAGCATGATTTTCTTGGAGCATACATCAGTGTAATGTACAATCATAGAAAGAAATTTAATTTCTATAATACTGCTTATTATAAAAATTTCCTGCACAATCAATTGTTTAAATGCATGTATCGAGGATATATTGTTTGTGTCCAATTGAAACTGGGATTAAATTTACTTTATCATTATTGAAATTACATTTGACAGGATCAACATCTTACTTTAGAATAATTTTATGATATAATTTTTTTTTAAAGTGTTTATTATTTAAACAAACAGAACAGAAGGTAAGATTAGGCTTTTTTTTTCTTTAATGTAGAAAATGTCCTTCAGAAAATGGTCAAGGACAAAATCACTGCATCCGCTGATGTAATGCAATCGGACTTATTATCATAAAAGGATTGCTAAGTGTTGCTATCTTAAAATTTAATTCCTTTTTTTCAATGTGCTTAACTGACTTTTAATGTCATTGTGTCGGTTAATTCTGAGACACTTAAAATATAACAGCAGCGCCGTTCAATAAACTTTTACATATATTTCTTATTTTGTTAATTGCTCACATATTATTCTACTTAATTTGGAACAACGTGTGTCCTGACATGGAATAGCACGAAATAAGAAAGGTCGTCCCCTTTTTATTAAAAATATCCACACGAAAGCTTCGACACATGTTAACGAGAAAACTATGCTGTAAAATGCTTTGAAATTAATGTGCCTATTTTTTTTTATCTAAGACAGTATGGATTGCACGTGCTTACCGAATACATATCCGCCTCTCTGAACTAGTTTTGCCAAAGCTGAAAATTTTAGTTTTCTTAAATAAATGAAACTAGAATTATGCTATAAATACAGATTAACAACTGTTGTAATATGCAAATATGTAAGTGTTACAAAAAGGACATAAATAATTCGCCTAGACAAATGTTATAATCCTTCTAAATGGAATAATAAGTTGAGCTTTCGATTTCTAACTTAGTTTGACATTTTCTCACGAAAAGTAAACTTCTGTATGCAAACAATATTGATTTGCAATGATGTTATACCATTTACACGTGACATTTGTGTCGTTTTGCAATTCAATTAACAATACTTCCACTTTTCCTATAAAACTTAGTGACATTATACTCATTAATGTTCATAAATTAACATAAAGTGTAAATTCCGATAGAAAATGTCAGAATCTTCCTTCGGTTATGTGAGCTTTTAATCGTTCGTTCTAATTTAATCATGAAAAAAGGAAAGGAATTAAGGCAAAATGTAAAATTATTTTTACTTTCGTCTGTTCACACACTACATACCATTGGATGGAAATAATGTCATTTTATTGCTTAAAGGCACATTATGCCTCAGAAAAAAATAAATTTTAAGTTCTTTAGAAAGGGCAAATATGAAATTTATAATGATTAAATTATGGTTTTAGAGAATGTAGATGCTTGCTACCTTAATAAAGTAGCGATTAATGTGAATTTCAAATTATTTGTCATAAAAGTAGCAACATGTAAACAATGTAGTATTTTGATTTCCATACATAATACTAGTTCACTATAACAGTTACTGTACTTTCGAAAAAAGCAACAAATGGAAAAGATAGTTCAGATAATTTTGCCATTGAGTACCTTTTCAGATACTATAAAAGTACACAAAAATAATGAACTTTTGAGAAATAAAAGTACATGTAAAAGCTGGTTTATGGCCATACAAAATGTCAAAAGGATTGATAACGATGGCGTTTAAAATGATGCTTTTTTATTGAAATCACTGTCGCAAGTTATTCAATATAGCATATTTCTCAGCAATACTGTTTAGATAATGTATGCTGTTTTTCCGTGAAAAATATTCATAGTTAAGGAACTCTGAATATATGGTGTTGTTCATTCACAAGGAAATTTCTTTCATTGTATATTCTTCGGTATATCCACTACATAAATGCGTATTTTAAGCAACTGCTGTCTTCAGTGAAAAGCGTTATTTTGTTGAACTGACTGCTGTCTCAGTTTTTGTGAGAAATGTCTTATCCCTTCATTTGCAGGAATATCGTGATGGACTTGATTTTCTTCTACATGTGATAGTTCAATTCGATGGCAAGTGACGGTAAAACCTGATCCAAAACAGTTGCACTTGTGTTGACATTGTCGTGTAGTATCAACGTACTTCCCATAGCCTAACTCACAAAGATCGTGTGCCAGACATGAGTTGATGATTTCAGTAACATCTAAGTCTGTTTTTAAAACAATACCATAAGTCCTACCATTTCTGTCGGAAGCATTTCGGTGACGTTTAACACATTCCTGCGCATGCGCCTTCTCAGTACATTTGTTTACCTCAATATGCAGAGATATACCATCATGGCTACAAATTAATTCCGTTACCTTTTCTACGATCTGCATTTTGAACTTTTCATACCGTTCAATGTCTATCTCGCGTTTAGCATTTTCAGTTACTGTTTGATAACGTACTGCGTGGACATTTTCAAGCTGGTCTACTAAGGAACGTATATTGAATTGTTTTGCAAGTTTATAAACCTCCTGACTTGTAAATATTGGTGGAAGAACTTCGAATCTAAGATATTGAAGAATGTGTCTAAATATTTTACAGTCACTGTCTATAAAATAGCGTCCCTTTTTGTCTGTATACCCCGTGTTTTGTCCGAGAATCATGGCTGTCAACCAACTGTTTGGCTCTTTTTGTAATGTGCTCAGCGTTGTTGCCATCAGTTCCCCTCCAACGTTTAATTCCACGATATCTGAAAACTATAAACATTATGTCATTAAATGATTGCAATTGTGATTAATTTGGTTGATTCTTGATAATTATGTTCTTTTTGTTTGTTCTTGTGTTATGTAATCTTTTTGTTACGGTATAGGTGGAGTTAGTTGGTTTGCTTGGGGTGGGGGTTGGCTCGGGAGTTTCGGTAAAATTGTTTTAAAGAATTATAATTTATCATTGACATCTTATAATGACAGTAATAGTACAATAATATTTCATTTTGGGGTCCGCCTAGGCTCCTTGCCACTTGTTCTTGTTGCTGGGTCGTGTGGGGGTTGCGTTCATTGAACACCGCCTTTCCTTGTTGATCTTGTTTTTCATATGTTTTGGTATTGGAGGAAAGGAGTACTGAGTCAGATACTAGTATTGTCTTTTTACTTGTGAAAAACTGTCATGATTCTTAATTATTCTTTTTGACAATGAATCCTAAATGTATGTTACTTACAAAGTTTACTTTATGAGCATTACACGATTGAATATTTACAGTTCAATATCAAAATGAAAGAGATGTGCGCAGTCACACGCAATCATTATGGGTACAGGTTTGAGCAGGAAATGCCCGTAGAAGCCATCCAGACTGTTGATCAATCACATATGTTAAATTGCCATTGTTTTGTTGTTGTTTTTGTTGTTGTTTTTTTTGTTTTTATACTCGAATTACTACGTTAAGAGTTATGAAAAATTGTAATTAAAGTAGACAGCGTCTAGATTTAACAACAACAACAACAACAACAACAATAATAATAATAATGATAAAAAGAACAACATTAAAAAAAAACTTTAAAAAAAAAACAACATAAAAAACGATTGACTATAATAATTAAATAAATACATTTTCATGTTTTGAGTTATAAGTTGATAATAATATTGTACTCGGATATCAAAATATTCATTGAACACTTTTTTAGTGTTATTGTTTATAAAACATGCATGTAACGTCTTTACATGCTATTAATCTCGTTACTTATGTTTGTATCTTCTTTTTAAAAGACAGAAAATGTTTCTGGATATTTTATATGTTTAATTCCATATGAAGTTTATTTGACTTAAAGATAGATAAACTGTCATTTAATGAAACATGTTATATAACATATCAATGCCGGTATGTATAAAAAACATACTCAATGTTTAAAGTTTAAAAAACTTTAAGAAGACGGAAATATACGACTTAATTTATTGATGAGCAAAATCATAATATACCAACGAGAGTTGAAAGAATAAATTTGAATTTTTCACATGTACCGATTATTGAAGAGCTGATTTTATCATATTTATATCGTGTATCAAAATGAACTGTAAACAGTAGCGATACATTTATTTCCCAAAGCTTTAAAGCATAAAATTTAAATGTCTGCATAATTATTTACTTAGACCTGACATATATGCAAAGGATAATTAAGAAATGTACTCAGAAATGAACTGAAAATCGTATTTGTTACTATTCTTAGTCATATTTGAGTGAAGGGCGTTAAACGCGTTTAAGTTTTGCGTCATTTTCATAATAAAAATAAGTATCCTGAAAAACGGAGTGATCGAATGTTCTCATATTTTACACACAAGTTATTGGAATAGACCTTCATCAATGGAATATTAATTTTCAAACATTTTTACAAGCCCCACCATGTCAAAAACCTCAGTTCCATTAAATAATATAATGTAAGATAAAACAAATCTTTGGTTGATGATATTCCTTTTTATAGTTGTTGCTTTAATCATTTTATACTTTTTATGTATTTTCTGTTTGTTTATATTTTCGTTCATGTTTTTGATGTTGTGGTTGTTTCTTACTTTTTTCTAGATATGTGATTGGAGAACTATTAATTTACATTTAATATCACACTTATGGCTTGAATATAATGAGGATCCCTTAATACACGTACAAACTTGCTTTATGAAGGCGTATTTGCCGTAACCAAGCTGACATAACTCGTATGCCAAACACTTTACCATGTTTTCAGTTGCAGTATAGCCCGTTACTACAAGAATATTTTGTTTCGAGGGAGGCTCCCTTCCTTTGAACGTTGATTTTTCATTATGCACACAATCAGGCGACTCGCATGATCTATCTGTTACATGAAATGTCTTATACTCCGCGGGACTTACAGTGTACATATCGATGCCTTGAATTGCATCCTCCTTTAACTGTTCATACTCCTCCGCTTGTATTTCTTGTTTAAGATTGTTTATTTTTTTACGATACTGTACGGAATGAAAGTTTTTGAGTCTTTCTACTAGAGATTGAATTCCAAAATACATTGCCATATCATAAACACCCGTTGCTACCTCTCCTGGCGGAAGGCTGCCTGATCGTAGGTAGTTTAGCACGTATCCAAACATTTTTGCGTCACAATCTATAAAGTAGCGGTTGTTTTCATCTTTCTTAACCTTATGACGCCCACTGAACATTGACGCCAGCATACTGTCAGGTTCTTTTCTGAGTGTTCCTAACGTTGTTGTTAAGCACTTTCCTCCTACGTTAAGTTCTATGACATCCGGGAACTGCAAATATACGTTTATGTAATCTGTAGAGATTTTAATGATAATAAACTCATATTACTTCGAATAAAGTTTTCTTTAATGTATTATTAACTGTAATGTTCAATGCATCATTCGTTAATATAAATTTAACAATTATATGTTTCATCGTATTAACATACCTTTGAACGCACATATATATATTTTGATATACTACTTTCGTATCATATTACGTCATATATTACATAAACGGTCTCAAATAGTTTCCTCAGCCCTGACTGTAGTTCAACATAGGCCTATTTACGGTCGTTCTCCTACTAAAATAAATGGGTTCGTTATTCAACTGCGCACTTTTTAGTAAAAATTTTCCCGAAGCTCATCGGCATGCTAAATTAACCGTAAATACTGAATTCCAATCAGTGCAAAACAGTGATTCTGGTATGCAAATAAACACACGCAAGCACGCACACGCACGCGCTGACATTCGCAGTTTAAAACTTTTTAATTGTTTTATTGATTAATCTTCTTAGCAAATGAAGAAATTCTTAAATTCAATATGTTTCTTTTTTACCACATTTATCCAGATATAAAAGTAAGTTCAAAAAACGAATAGTACTACTAGTCATTAGACTATTTTACGGTGCCCCGTTAGCGCCATCGATACACTCACATTACTCCAAACAACGAAAAATCAAATCTACGATGGTAAAGACGAAATAACGAAATCAAGTTGATGAAATGTCGATATTACGCTGGTGAAAAGTCGAAATAACAAAACTACGATCATGGTGAAACCTCGATATAATTTCGTGTTTTTGCCATGATCGTACTTTCCAGTTTTCACCATCGGTGTTTCGTTATTTCGAATTTTCACCAGTGTAAATGTCATCTCGTCTGGATTTCCAAGTAACACCTTTTATATACTGTATATCATGGAAAAACACTGGTTAGAACTAGTGTAAATACGCAAAATTGATGTTGGAAAAAATTGTGATGTGCAAAAGATTTCATACAAATTGAGTTAACAATTTTGAAAACAAAACTCAAACTGTAATGTTTGTATTGGTGTTTGTATTCTTGCTTACAAATGTTTATTTAATTGGAAAAAATGTCTGTTTAAGTCCGATTATGAAGAAGGTTTTCAGTTCAAGAATAGCCATTTAGTGAACTTACCAGTAGAAAAATACAATTTTGTAAACATACAAGATCAAGAAGGTAATAACATATTTTGTACATACCGGTTCCTTATCCATTTTAAAAACCTTCGAAACTTTGTCCGAACCTGATATGTACATTTTACACACATAAATCATATATACTTGTTAAAAGAAGAAGAAATAGTAAATTTCTCCTTGAACGCCGAGATAACCTTCAAATAACGACTAGATTTACAACCTGATAAGCTTGAAAATACAGTTGCAATTTTTTATTATTCTGATCATTATTTATCTTGTTTAATCATACATGTTATTGTACATGTTTACAAAATATGAAATATTCAGTTAACTGATATGTTATTTCATTGTCTGTGTACTTATTTGCACCTTATATCTTATTTAGGATAGGTAAATAATACATGTTAAGATTATATATATATATTAATTCATTTAATTCAACTTACTCTGCTTTAAGTCATTTAAATTTAATGATGGCTGTCTATTCAGATAAAACAGTAAAGAAACATACTTTCTTGTCAGAATGTATTGGTGGAGGAACTGCTGCTTCCATTGTATTATAATAACAATCGCACACGTCTTTCAATAGTTTAATAGATTCTAAAATACAAAATAGAACTTTGATTGTATAACAAAAACCTGTATTAGATCTACATAAAATACTCCTCTCTCAATATTATGTCGTAGCCTCACACTTATCACATTGATCTATGAAATCATTGCACTGCCCCGTTTACTGCAATAGAGAACAATGTTATTTCTTACTCTTCAACATACGGTAGTGTGAGCATTTCGGGAAAAAAAGAGTTTTTTCAAAGATGTCATAAAATCCATTACATGTTTATACATTAATAATAAAGATAAGTTTAACTTCTTATACTTAAACGGAACGCGAGAAGTTCTTAAGATTTCCAAATAACACATTAACTGCATTCCAATTTACAAAAATACTTTGTCCATTTCATAATCATCATCATGATAAACTAAGCATGTTTGTGCAATAAAATACAGTGTGAAATTGCAGAAAAACGCAATTCCTATGATATCCAAAAAATGGAAAAACTGAAAAGGATTGCAGGATCGTTATGATTAACCCTGTTCTCGGATGGAAGTGCTAAGCGCATCTTCCGCCCATTACCCCCTAGCACCGACGTAAGCAGTATACAACATTTAAACATGATACTGGTGAAATTAAAAAAAAACATCTTCATGTGCTTACAGACAGCGCTGAGCATGAAACATTCAAATTGAATATTATACTTGAAACAATGTAAAGAACTAAATAAAATTTAAGTATGTGAGGGAATCGAAAATAATGAAAACAAATATATCATTATATAATATTATACCAAAATAAAATTAAATAACAAAATCTAGCCAAAGCTCTATCAATGTAAATTTTCGGCATTCAAAAACTCGTTCTTGTTTTACATGATCGAATGGGCTTAATCAAGTTTGATTAATCAACTGTTAAAAAGGTTACTTATTCAAGTTTATTTTGCAATTTGCACAATCTGATTTTAAACCACATTTAACAATTCATTCAATTGCTTCGTCGCGTCATAAATGCGATTTATTTGAAGTCCAGTAAATTAGTAATCTGATAAAGTATGCATTATAATGCACACACACAAACATTTCAAAGGTTTGAAAATAATACAAAGTGCACTTTTGTACCCACCTTACCGATATTTCCCTGTCACACTTGCATATTATTTTCGTATGTATATTTTAAATAGGTTAAAATAATAAAATATCATATGATTTTAACTACATCTGTAATAAGTTTGACAAACGTATGAATAATGACGCTCTATCTATTTGATGGACTTCAAGTGACACTGTGATCCTGTCAAGCCATCTCAAAAGTATAAAATAGAGAAAAACAGAATCCCTAAAGATAGTCAACACGACATAATTAAACTGTTGCAGGCTTGCTTTGGTGCCTGTTTTTGGACGGTAATGGAAAGTGAAAGTTATCGTTAGTGGCTAGCACCGGCTAGTGCTTGCAAAACTTTGATCATTGCTTGTTTATTTTGTCTTTTGAGAGCTTGTCAAAGTATGCAGGCTTCATAACTTCCGACCCCCTTCAAAATCCAATTTTATATAGTTCCGACCATTGTTTTCTCGTTTTTCAAACGCTTTGTTTTTACTTGGGGAACTTGAGGACCATAAACCGCGTCTTACGTCTCACATTGAAGATTCCATGAAAACAACCATATGAACACATCTGCGGATGTTTCAATATATGTTTACCCGTTCATTTTAAATGTTTTACTCTGCTAAAGCCGTTGCTAGGGGACGTGGATGGTGACTTACAATTGCCACTACACTCAATCAAACCGAGTCTGCAACATTTTGAATTATGCGTGTTGAACTTTTTAAGGGATTCTGTTTTCAATTTATTGCGCTAAATGATTTGCTGCACTGCTGGACTTTTTCATTTGCTGTTTACAAGAAAAACTTACTTATCATATAGAATTTGCTTGTCTGCCATATTATTTTTAGTCTTCTTACAAAACTGGAAAGGATTGGAAAATGCTATTTCTTTTTTTCTTTTTGTGTGTTTTGAATATTTTTTTCTCTCTACAAAGTGGATGTGAAGAACACTTTACAACTCGAAAACACAAAAATGGACGTTTCACGTGTTCCTGGATGGTCATGATAATGGAAGTTTTCCGTCCACGTCCCCTAGCACCTTCTTGTTTAAATATAAAATTGAGTTCTATGCAGGTTGTTTCGAACAACATCAACAGATATTTTTAAACGGCAACTATCATGAAACTTTTAATGTTATATTCGTAGGGCAATCGCTACACACACACACATAACTCGAAACAACGAAAACACGATGGGTTTTTAATCTTAATTTTTTTCGAGTTATATGTGGTGGCGATGGCCCTAACGGGACACCTTAGATTTGGTTATGAGCCTTTTATGTCCGTCTGTACAGTTAATTTAAAAATAGTTTATATGTGATATTTCTTTCTGTTGAAAGATGTTTATTTAATATTGATTCGCTCTTAGAAGTTTGGACATCATTTATATGAAGGCCATATTAAATCCGACTATTCGAGTACATATTCAAGTGAGTCTGTCCTAAAGCTGAGGTACAAATTTGGAGGGAAATATACAGATGCATATAAAATAGACCAAAAATCTTGGAAACTTTGAAAAAATATTAAACACACACCTACCTTTTGAATTGGTTGTTATGTCGCATTATTCTAAATTATGCATGTTTAAAGAATAATAACAAATAACATATTCTAAACAATCCTTGTTATTATAAATTATGAATGTGATTAATCTTTAAACAATCATTGAAATGTATATTAATATTTTGTCATACTTTTATAGATTATTGCATGATTGAAAAAAAAGATCTTAGATAAATGCATTCATAACCACGTTTATGTGAAACATTCCTGTTAAATTTACGACAATAGATAATTGCGTGACTGTAAAAGGAAGATCAATAGATATACTTTAAGCGTTTGTGCAGGTGTAGATTAATAAAAACCGGCCCCAAGTAGATTAACATGCTTCAAGTAGTACTTTGTGAAGGTTTGGACCAGTTTTGTTTGATCTTTTGTTTTACCGATTAAGGAAAAAAATTATTTTGATTTTTTAACCTGTGGAAAGTAAGGAGATACTTTAAGCATATTTTCTATTGTCGACTTATTCACCCTGATTCTGATAAATTTGGTGCGTACATAGTACTTAAATGAAACGAAATTAATTCCTTGCTGACTGTCTAAATTCCATAGTGCTTAAATAAACAAATACTCGCTCACATTTGTGAAAACAAAGTCGCGTCCATAAATAAAAGAAATTTCACGTTGCCATTGTTAAATAACACACATGTCAATATAAACTTCACACAACATAACGTTTGATAAGTAACTAGCTGACCCTTCAAAAGAATCTGTCAATCTTTGAAGTTTACACACATGCAGTCCCTGCTGTTTAATCCCAATCATCAAATATCTGTCGGGTAATTATCGTGTCAATTATTTACATATTATTTTAATCGTAAAGGCATTTTTTATTTGCCTGTACGAAAACCCGTATTTAATCTGCTTTTAGAGACAAATATTATTAAATCTGAAAAAAGTGATTTCATTACTTTTAAACAAACTCGGTTCGGATAAGAAGTTCCAACTTCTTGAATTTACGAATTCAACCTCATGAATTCACAATTACATCTTCATGAACTCATCATTTCAACTTCAAGAATTGTTGAAAAGCATAAGGCTATTGCTTTTGAAACATAATATTACGTGTAACAGGACAGTTATTTGTGTAATAAGCTGACTTAAATACTAAATCAATTAAGAAATATTAAGAAGAAAAAAGGACAAGGCAACTGAATATATCGTGTACTTTTTCGTTGATGATAAATTTGATATAAGTACTCATTTAATGTTGCATGGCATTTACTAAGTGATATCAACGGCTTTGCTTGCGGTCAGTGTCTTGAAGTTGAAAAAAAAAATAATATACCTACTTTCGTTGTTTCATTTCGTTTATTGTCGTAAATTCATGGTCGCTGGAAAATAGCGCTAATTTTCTAAATGTAAGATAAAATTCAAAGCAATCATCATGAATTATAATGACCAGCCGAAAACAAAATTCTAATGATATTTGTTCTGAATAATTATTTTAATTAGTCTTGGCGTAGGGTTTTGTCATTTTTGTCTTTCAAAAAACAAGGATTCTGGTCCCTTGTTGTTTTCTCATCTACCTTTTGCCGCTAGTTTATTTTTTTGCCCCTGCTAGTTTTATCCCCCCTTTCACACCCCTGAATCTCGAGTCCCCTTTTACCTGTGCCCTTTTACTTTGTGGGCCTATTAATAATCAATTATTTGTTTTCTTTAATTTCCTTGTCGGTTACTACTATTTATTTTAAGTATCATTTATGTGATTATCCTGCCCGTGCTCTGCCTTGCGCCCTGTCCTATCTTTTTGATTGGGGTCCTCCAGGGCACCATGCCGCTGGCTCTTGTTGTTGGGTTGTTTGGGGGTTGCGTTCATTGAGCGTCGCCTTTCCTTGATCTTGTTAATCATATTCCATGTTTTATGTTGTGTATAATTTCATACTTCACTTGTACTGGTAAGTCTGGTGAGCGTAGAGGTCGTTGCAAATTGGTTTTCATTTAAATTATAAAGTTCTCTATCTAGGACAGTGTAGTATACACGTGGTTTCCGTCTGAATGTACGATTACATGTCTCTGACCTTGATTTGCCCTAAATGAAATTTTAAGTTTGAATTAATGATACTAGAATCTCTTGCCATAAATATAGAGTAACCACAGTTGTAATATTTATGCTTCTAGTGTTACAAATTTGAAACAAACAATATTTCAATGCAGATTTGACATAACTAACTTCTTTTTAATACGTGTATATTAACAATTATTACACATGACTTGAATATATATTTCGTACAAAATGAGAACATTTGCATTAGCAAATGATCGTTTTCCCTGTTTATGTAATGATTGGTGACATGTTCACTGTAAAAGAATTATTGAACGACACTGCTGTTATCTTTTGAGTGCCTCAGAATTAACCGACATTTACAAACAACACTTTGACGTTAAAAGTCAGATAATCATATAGAAAAAATGAAAGAATAAAATCTTAAGATAGCATCACTTAGCAATCCTTTTATGATTATAAATGCGATAGTATTACATCAGTGGAATCGATCATAATATGTCCTTGACACTTTCTTAAGGTTATTTTCTAAATTAAAGAAAAAAACGAGGTGTTGATTATAGCCAAATATAACCTTCTGTTTGTTTAAAGTATAAACAATATTTTAAAATAGTGTGTCATGAAATTGTGCTATATTAAGATGTGGACCTGTCAAACGTTTTCACAATAATGATTGTGTTATTAATACCCGGTTTTAATGGGACAAAAAAAATAACATTCAGGACATGTATGCAATTAAATGTGTGGGAAATTCGTAAGTAGTATTATAGAAATAGATTGATTCTACGGTTGTGTATTACACTGATGTGTGCTGCTTGACGCAGTTTTCCCGTTACTTATTTTAATATATTGATACATTGTTGTCAATTCACTCAGCACAGATATTTGCAAATATTCTAATAAAGTCCATACTTAAATTTTGTTACCGCCATGGGTTCGACCCCGGCAAGGACTTTGGATTATTTCATTTGAATACGCTTGCGTAACGTCAGTGGTTCTACTCAAGTGTCCGTTCCTGTCTGGAATAAGGCACGTAAGGTCACCTAACGTCTCCCTTCACCAGTTAAGCTATAACGCCGCCATATGGCCTGCATTTTGTCGGTGTGACGTAAAACTCAATCAACGAACAAACTTAATTTATTTCCAGTATCAGTTTATACATTAAGTAAATCTCAGTCACTTTAACTATATTTCATTGTGTGAATTTTCAATATAATTATAATTAGAAATATTTTAAACCATAAGTCATTCTTGTACCATTAAATACTAAATATATCACGATTATTTTATAAAAGTTTAGAGGACTAATACTATTATGTGCTGTGGTTTGTTTGGTCTTGAGTTCATTCATGTTACGTCATTAGTAATGTTGTTTCTCAATGTCCATAGAAAATAATGAAAAGCCAGTATGTATCGAATGACTTTAATTGATAAAAACACAAAGGTAAATTAGCGATTTTTAAAGTTTAAAGAAAAACTTTTTTTACTTTAAATAAATGATAGGAACAAAATTATTTAAAAGATAAATTCATTTTTGTGGCTTTTTTGTAGCTTAGTTTTCAAAGATAGATAGCGAAATGGAAGATAAAGTAACTTTGCTCGCACCATCCAGAGTCTCGTTTGTTCATTTTTGATATGAAATTATCGGTTATCTGCCTTGAAATATGTCACAAATGACAATAAACGAAACATTAAGTTCGCCCATCTTTTATTGTAAGAGAAGACGATTTTATTGACTTTATCCATCAATGAAAATAAAATATGAGTTAATATTTTCAACTTGACTTGTTATAGAGGGACATGTTGATTTTTAATTGAGTCAATATATATTTTATATCCGATGAAACCATGAACGTATACTCTGTTTAGCTTTTCTAAATGCCGTGCATATATTTTGACATGACGTCATCTACGTTAAGCAAACATAGTGTAATGACGCACTAAATGTTAGCGTTACACTATTGGCGCGTCAATGAATAATGATTTTGTTGCACTTTATTTGGGTATGTGATAAATAGAGTATTATATCCGTGTAGGTTCATTACTAAATAATATTTTGCTCGCCAAAGGCTTGCATAATATAATTTTATTCAACTCGTCCAATAAATTCAGTATTGAACCTACACTCATTTAGTATCTTCTATATACTTGTCACGAATGAAATCAATGTAAATTCAAATTGCTAATAAAGTGTCAGAAGATGCTATAAAAATATTTCTATTTATTTCTAGAAAGCCATTTCACTCAGGTTTGGATGAAACGGTACTTATTTGAAAAATTCAAGAATAAAGTACTTGTATGGAAGACAAACTAGCAGCTGCTTTCTTCACGTGCTACTGTAAATCAGTTATTAAAATATTATTTATAGTAGTACAACATATATGCCGTTTATTCAGAGAAATTGATATTAGCCTAATTGTGCCTAAAGTATAAACTTTATTAAGGATTTATTTACTTGCGAAATAGACAAAAAAACTTGACCAAATGGCTAAAAATGGAGAAGGAAAAAAAACGACAATTTTGAAATGTTTCAGGAACCTGTCAATAGGTATTGGTATAATTGCTGTTATAGGCACTAGAGTCTCGTGTTTTTGATTTTTAAGATCATTATTGTTGAGCAAATGAATATTACTGATTTAAAAACAAGTTTTACGTAACCATAAAATCCTATTATTTGAAAACCAAATGGTACTCCATAATAAATCAGACATGGAATGGTTAGAGGTTAATCATTTTGTACTTTTGACAGAGCTAATAAATCATTTTGCATTCATTAATTATTCAAGTATTTAGAATTTATGGAAGAATAATAGACAAACAGCTGTTCATCAGTAACACCCAATGACTGTAAAACATTATTCTTTAGCGGTGTTTGCATATGCCTCCTCTTAAAAAGCTGATCATTTAAACTTATTTATGTCAAGAGGCCTATATAAAATTGATCCACGCCTTAAAGAATATATTATGTTTTTGGCATGAACAGATTTGCATATCAAATTATTATAGTAAAAGAACTGATAGAACGCGGTGTAAACTGCGCAGTTAAGAAGAATTATAACATTTACTGTGTTGGTACGTGCGAGGTAAAGCACTAACCCACACCAAGCTACCTGATTACATGATAGAATGGAAAGTCAGGCATACAGTTCAAGAGTAATTTCCTCCTTAAAAAGAACACACATCAT